AGAGAGAGAGAGAGAGAGAGAGAGAGAGAGAGAGAGAGAGAGAGAGAGAGAGAGAGAGAGAGAGAGAGCCGGCGCATTGCGCGGCTGCCCGCGTCGAATGCGCCGCCTCTCTCTCTCTTCTCTCTCTCTCTCTCTCTTGTGGGGGTGCGAAATCTTCCCCAACAAGGAGGGAAGATTCATTCGCTATTTGCACATTCGTGCACTCTCCCGTCTCTCTCTCTCTCTCTCCCCCCTTCTCTCCACGCGACCCAAAGATGGAAAGTGCAAGCGGATATCTTTCTTTTTCAATTTCTTTTTTTTTCGCAGAAGAATGTCGAATTCTTTTTTTTTGTCTTCTTTTTTTCTTCCGATGTGTACCTACCTGTAGCTCGAGGCTCAGCAAGGTTCGGGATACCCGTAGGCTGAGCCACGGGCCTTAACAACCGCTAGGTACTGGTGGTTTAACACTAGGGTAGGACAGGGGGGGTGGGGGTGCGCCAGGGCAAAAAGATGAGAGGAAGGGTGGGTGGGGTCTTCAGAGGGGTTCATCTGGACTACTGAGTGGCCGAGTACTGTGGGTGACTGTCATCCGTGTAGTATCCCACCTCCACAACAACCTGGGCTTTGGAAAAAAAAAAAAAAATATATTGTTTTGCCACCCGCACCCACTTGTGCCGATGCAGCCCTATCCACGAACCCTCCACCGGTGTCGCCACCTCTCTACCTTGCACCGCTTGCCAGCATCACTCCATCATGGCATCGCACAACATGGTCCTGGGTGGTTCACACTAGGGTAGGACAGGGGGAGTGGGGGTGCGGCAGGGCAAAAAGATGAGAGGAAGGGTGGGTGGGGTCTTCAGAGGGGTTCATTCAAGTGGCCGAGTACTGTGGGTGACTGCCATCGGTCTAGTATCCCACCTCTACAACAACCTAGGCTTTGGAAAAAAAAAAAAAAAAAAAAAAAAAAAAAAAAAAAAAAAAAAAAAAGGCCTATTGTTTTGCCACCCGCACCCGCTTGTGCCGATGCAGCCCTGCCCACGAATCCTCCACCACCGGTGTCGCCACCTCTCTACGTTGTACCGCTTGCCAGCGTCACTCCATCATGGCATCGCACAACGGTACGGCCAGCTAAGTTGGGGTGGGGCTTCCGGGGCTTCCGAATTCACCAAGTTCGCTAACCAAGGGCGAAGCTCAAAGAGGACGGATCTAGCCGCCTACTGTGGCTAGAATCACGCCCTCCTTTTCTTAAAGAAAAACTGGGCGAGGGGCTGGACTGCTGGTTTTTGGCCCCGACGTAACAGGCAACCCTGTGCGACTGTACCCAGGCCCGCTTTTTTCATTTCTCTCAACCTCGAGCCTGTGCACTGCACAGGTGGACCCAAGGCCTTGTTCTTTTTTTTTTTTTGGGGGGGGGGGGGGGSGGGGTTTCAGCGCCAAGGGTCCAAAGGGGGCGGGGGGGAGAGGGGGGGAGTAATTTTCTTGAGTGGTCCTGAGTCTCTGGGTCGGGTGACCCAGGCCAACGCTTCACCCACCTGTCACCCACCCGTGACGCAGAGCAAATATTGACCCACCCATGACCCAGAAATGCCCACCAGCTGCACACGCCCATCACCCACCCAAGGAGACATAGGTAGACCCAAGCCCAACCCAATCACCTTTTGGGGCAGGTGGGGCAGGTGGGTGTGGCTGTGCCAACCCGGCGCCCACCTCTGCCCGCCCCCGTGGGCCTTCCGAACAAACAAGTGCCCAGGCGGGCCACACACACACTCATACCACACTCAGACCGACAAGCACTCAGACAGGCACACGAACCAGCAAGCACACACACACACACAGACTTAGAAAACTCAGCAGAACGCGGGAATCTCAGCAAGGATTCATTCCAGCAGCAAAAACTCAGAAATCGGCAGTGCTCTCAGTCTGTGTTTTGGCAGGTCATTACATAATTGTCGACCGCGTGGGCACGGAGAACGCAGCCCTAAGGTAGCCAAAGCAACGGTCTTTGGCTACCTTAGGGCTGAATGGCAAAAAATGGAATACAAGAGAACGAGAAGCTAGGGTCTTTGGCTACCTAAGGTAGCCAAAGCAACGGTCTTTGGCTACCTAAGGCGAGAGAGAGAGAGAGCGAGAGCGAGAGAGAGAGAGAGAGAGGCTGAATGGCAAAAAATGGAATATGGATCAAATTGCGGCCGCAATCTATTTCGCAGTCAAAACGAGTTTGTAAATTTATTTCACATTTTTCCTGGAAAGATCACAACAAAATCTATGGGCACTGCAATTTTCAGATTTTTTCACGCATTCTTCTGGGCGCGAAAAATCACTGAAGTTGGAGCACTTTTTCCGTTGACCCACACATGGCTGAGTGGCAAAAATGGAAATTGTGCCGAATTGGCGCGGCGGTTATAACGCAGTCTTAATGATTTTTTAAAAACTTTCTGATATTTTTCCTAGAAAGAGCACGACCTAATCTATGGATTCTGAAAGTCTAAAAAAATTCTGCGAATTCCTCCGGGCACAAAAATCGCCGAGGTTGCCTCTTTCAAATTGCAGGACTGGACCCACTGGTACCCTCCACCTTGAACAGCCTGCATCTGGGACTCCCGACAATGTGTCCCTTTCTTACTTCTTTTTGGGGTCCGCTTCCACCCGACGACCGGTCATTCCTTTTTCCAAAAGTCCTGGTTCTACAAGAGCTAGCTGTAGGTCGTCTGCAATATCGCCAAGGACCGGTCCCCCCAAAACTTTTGCCCCGTAAGAACCCACTTGCGTCCTGGTCGTGCGCCACCGAAAATGCGACACCTTGACACAGACGCTGAAGCCCACTATACAACAGCCTTAGGGCTGCAAACTACAAGGTATGGAGGTTCCTCTCCAAGGCAGATAACAAGATGAATTGCAGCTAACTTCTTAGAAGCTATAGCTAAATAAAATATAAAACAATATAAAAATATTCTATATTACTTTTTTTTTTACTTTTTTTTTTTTAGCTACACTATGTTCTTCTCTCAAATTCTTTTTGCCTTTCACTACCTTCCTACCACTACTCCTAAGAGGGGACCCCTGCAAGCACGGGGCCTTGCAAAAAAGGTAAATCATGTTGGCCCCGCCCCAACAGCGGTAGTCAGAGACGGAGTGGGGCCGCCGGTGGAGGTCCGGCTAACGCAAAGACCGAGCATTCTGCCAGCAGCTGCGCCTCCCTTTCTCATCGTCCCCCACCCCTCATCGAGTAGCAGCAGAGGCTATGGCCAACACTTTCCCACACACCACACACAACCCAATCGCGCTCGCACTCACACCCGTGTTGGTCATAGACCCCGCTAATACCGATCAGGGGTATCCCGAGGACTATCACCGTCCTTGGCACTAAGTGCGCTGCAGGCGAAAATGGGGCTTGAACCCACAACCTCCCGAATGCCACTTGCGTGCCTAACCAACTGAGCTAGGCCGCTGGATTAGCTATAATCAAGAGTATTTTATTTTATATTATTATTATATTTATTAATTATTAAGTTATTAACGAAATATCTGTGAGATTGCGTGGAGGAAGGTGAGTAGGGAGCTTACCTGAACTTATCTGGCGCTAATGTCATAGAAGCTGCTGCTGGTATACATGAGGTTGACGAAGCACAGCGCCCGCCTCCATAGCCAGGGCTATGGTAGGACGTTGAGCGCCTTGTCAGAAATTCTCGGAATCAGCACAGAGACTTCGTCAGTGATTGTCAGAGAGCATGTGCATTGATGAAGTGGCGTAGGAGGGGAGATTCCAGTAGAAGAAGTGGGAGTTGTACCATTGATTATTAATGCAACTCTTCTCCCCCTCCTATCTCCCCTCTGCTTTGTCGCTCCCAGATTGCTCGCTGCTTGTGAAATGTGGAATTGACAGAGTATTGGACTTGCATTCATCTCTGGAGACTGCTTCTTGAGCACCGGACTGAGACTTGTGTGATATTGCTGACTGAGCATATCGACAAGATTGGGTTCATTACAAGAGGTTGTCAGGTAGGGTTCATTGAGCACATGCGCTTGATCTGATCGTGCGGTCCTTATTTCAGCGGGACTACACAGGGCCTGCATAGACATATGATCAGAGACCACAGTGCTGCAATTGTTCAAGTGCTCAAAATGAAACAAACCACAAAGATGCACTGATTACCTGATCCAAACGAGAAGCTGCCACTGAGTCTCTGTGTGTACATGTCTCCCATGCATGCAAAGTTGTGTCGTGTCATGGTCCCGTGATGCACGTCTAGCTGTATGCTCACGCTTCGTTCCAAATTATTGCCTATGCATGTCCGCGAACCTGACTACCTGCAGAACTCACCAATCATGCGTAGTTTGTGAGGAAGGAGAAGACCAACTGCTCATCCACTCCTGCACGACTGACCTTGCAAGGAGGAAGTGCTCATGTGCTCCCTCCCTCCCTCTCTCTCTCTCTCTCTCTCTCTCTCTCTCTCTCTCNTCTCTCTCTCTCTCTCTCTCTCTCTCTCTCTCTCTCTCTCTCTCTCTCTCTCTCTCTCTCTCTCTCTCTCTCTGTGTGTGTGTGTGTGTGTGTTAGTCTGTCTGTCTGTCTGTCTGTCTCTCTGTCTCTGTCTCTGTCTCTGTCTCTCTCTCTCTCTCTCTCTCTCTCTCTCTCTCTCTCTCTCTCGCTCTCTCTCTCTCTCTCTCTCTTGTGCGGACATATGCACAGGACATGCTTCATAGGAAGGAATATAGACACACAGGAAGCTGAGAGAGAGAACAAAGACCAGGGAGAGAAGGGAGAGTTGGTGAGGAGACATTGGGGGAGAACGGGCACACACGCAATGCTCATGAGTTGTTTGGGAGAGGGAGATGGCCATCATTTCTAAGAACGCTGTCTGGCACCCGCATGGCAAGAAAAGCCATGGGCAAGTGCAACATACTGGAGTAAAAAGGGGGTCAGATTGGAAGGGAATGGAATAGGCGAACCAAGAGGATTCATGCTGGGTTAACCCCATGACAGATTTTCATTTTGAGATTTGAGTAACTCTCAAGTATGGCCTCGACAAAAGCTGTGAGTCCACACCCATCTTCTTCTTTATCATTATCATCATCATCATCATCAACATCCCTTACATAATAATCTGCTCGAGCGAGCCAGTAGAAGTTGTTGTAGACATATCCCGTTATGGAAAATAGCCAGCAAGAATGACTGCAATAAAAAACACCCCTGACACCTGACGGGGTGTCAGGTGTCAGCCATCTCTACAAACGGAGAAAAACTACACTCGATCTTAGCCAAACAGCCGGGAACGGCATGCATGCAAAAGCAGAAAAACAAGGTGCACCCTCCACAACGTTGTTATCGCCGTCGCCATCACCACACTCGAGTGGTATACAAGGCAACCAGATTGATCATGAGACAGGCCCCTGCCACACTCCCTGGACTGAGCCAGTGCGGCCACCCAGTCAGAGAGAGCTACGGTAGGGCCATCTCGGCAGGAATCTCACTTTGAAGTTTGAACTGGTACTCAGTCAGTGATGAAACCAGACAAGCAAAGCGCGACAACGGAGCAGGGGTACCATTGATAAACAACAGAAGACAGCGGAAAACCGACTAGCACGCACAGCAGCTTGGACTAACCATTGAGTGACAGCATGCTGCAGAAAGCCTAGCAGGCACAGCAGCATGGACTATGTATGATATAGCACTTAGCCGAGGCGATGCCAGCGATGCAAACCTGGCCTACAGAATATCGGACTATAACCTTCTGCATGCCCCTCAAATCATACTCGTACCTGCGCTCTCACTCTTAAATATGCACAGACTCAGAGAGCCACCGAAATTACTTTGCCCGACTGATCGATCCACAGGTTACACTGCCCACTTGTCGCCGCTGATATTTGTCTTCTACTGTATCGATTCGCCATCGCGAAACCTGCAATCAAGCAGGCGAGCAGTTATAAGACAAACTGATGAACTTGGCGAAGCATGCCCTCCATCATCTCACACACGGTCACCAAACACTTTTACGTGTCTTCGACAGAGGTAGCAGTTAAGGTTGTCCTGTCTGCCAACATCATGGCAATTGCTGTGCACTTGAGTAGTAGAGCATTGCGATGAAGTGCATCGCATCTTTTGAAAGGCCCTTCCCCTGTTGACCGTCGCAAGTCTGTTCTGAAGGGTGAGTTCGACGTGTCATGCGAGGTTGGGAAAACAGAATCTAAGTAAACAAATGCGGAGCAGAGAAGGCACCGAGCGAGCGGGTAGGCAACACAGTAGAAGCACCGAGAAGGCACCAAGTTGAATGTCACCACCAAGTACTCGTACAGCATGCTGTACGAGGCAGAATCTAAGTAAACAAATGCGGACCAGAGATGAACTTGACCAAGGTGCTCCATACAAGGAGCAATGCACACATGCTAACTAACTAACGAACTAAGAAGGAATGTTTTTAGATGTATACTACCAAAACATGCTGTACGAGTACTTGGTGGTGACATTCAAGTACTCACCAACAGGACTAGAGATCACATAGCAGAGTGGGGGGACCCAAGCAAGCAGCGAGCCAGACTGGGCCCCCATGTGGAACAGAGGAAGAAGCCAGCATGTGTTTTACTGACCAGAGCTGGATATATGGTCAGCCAGTTGCGGGAGTTGTATATACGAGGAAGGCGTCGTTAGCCACAGCTATTGACATGCCCAACTAAACCTAAATCATCAATCCATTGAATGCAGCCAGTGGCCAGGGATTCGAGAAAAGTGCGCCCCACAAAACGATGGCAGCCCCAGAAAAAAACAAGGGTTGGGAAGAGTCCTGACCTTCGCATCGGTGAGACGAAGGTTTGGTTGTACACTCCACAAATGCACACAGGTCATCATCAATGATGGCCAACAATGACCCAGCAAGCCGCATCACATGGGTCCATGAAGACCCAAGTAACAAATACATCATGCAAGCTCCTTAGTTCCCCCATACTGCCCTCCTGCAGTTCAAGACACCCATTCCACACCAACATGGCGTAGAAAGTCCATCTTAATCCCCACCACCACCGTATAAGACACTCGCAGTCGACGGTCCGCAAACCTCTTTATTATTTCTTGCTGAGCATCCGACACGACCACAGAATCCTCTACTCTTGCATATACCATGCCCCCCCAAGCTTATAGCTTAGAACGCAGCCATCCACCGAAACCGCGCATGCAGCAATTGTCCACCGGAGGTTCGAACAGAGCAAGAGCGTGAGCCGAGGATGATGTGCAGGGGCAGTACGAGCGGCGAACTTTTCCAAAAAAAAAACGGAAACTGATCGGACGTGCCACAGTTTCACATCATCACCAGCGGCATGTGTAGTTACAAATACACCGACGACGACATGTAACATTGATCGGTCTGATGTCCACTACTGCCAACCGTTCGACCATCTTTCTTCGTTCCACGCTCGCATGAACGACAGACGGAAAGACAGCATAAAAAATCGAATCACCATCCTTGCCACCATCAAATTTGCCACTGTAATCACGAAGCGACATCAAGAACATACGCCGCTGAGATTACTTGTTCGGTGCAAAGAAACGATTTTTTTGCCTTCCCACTTTATCATTTGTCACACCCGCGATCATCACTGTTGCGGCTGCATCGTCTGCACCCGCGATTCCTATTTCATCATTCATTCCAGCCTCTGCTCACCAACATGGCATGGCAGCTGGATTTTTTGGACAAAGCTGTCAGGAGGTGGTGGTTGTCAAGCACCCTTCTCAAGCTGTTTGAGCAATTTTGCAACGATTTTAAGGTCGTCCTTGATCTCCTTCTTTTGGAGATCTATGATTGGGTCCCTCTTTTTCCCCTTCTTTCTGAGCTCCTCCAGCTGAGCCTTCATCTCAGCCTGACGATTCAACAGATCCTCTCGTGGCGAAAGAGGAGAACTCGACTTCGCCAGGGGCGCTGAATCAGACGACGAAGACAGAGGAGGATGAAGAGCAAGAGGAGAGGGAATGGTTGACGACTCTGCTGGCGCCGCCGCAGATGTCTCTGTATTCCCATCTTGCTTTGTCTGCGGTGATGGCAATATGCCCCCTCCCCCTAAACCCATCTGTGTATCGTAGTAGTAATAGCCACCGGCACCGATCGCAGCCAATCCGAGAAGCGCAATAACTCGACCCCCCCCCCCTCCTTTCTTCGCCTGAGAAGCAGACCCCGGTGCTGCTTCCCCAGCAGTACTCATCATTCTTGGCCGGCATGGTGGGCCCACCACTCTCCCTCCATGGCCTGCGCACGTGCGTGACGCCAAGTTGGGCCTTACAAAGCCCAGACGTGAACGCCCTCTAGGTACCACCACCTGGCTGCCAAGCCGACACAATACCTGCACCCGGGACATTGGAACTTCGGTCTTCCACTCTCACGCTGTTCCCTGGTCCAGCGTCCAGATAGCAGTTGACGAGAGAAGTTAAGCACCGCGCCGACCAAGAATGAGTGGTGGTACAGTGCCCTCTGCAAGGAACGACAAACAATGAGGGAAAGGAGCACAGGAACTGTGAATGCAGAATAGGAACCGTCCGTGAAAAGGAGAATAGGACCTGTGAAAGGAGAATAGAAACCGTGAAAGAAGAATAGGAACCGTGAAATGAGAAAAATAGAAACCGTGAAATGAGATAAATAGAAACTGTGAAATGAGATAAATAGCAACTGTGAAAGGAGAATAGGAAATGTGAAAGGAGAATAGGAACTGTGGGAACTGTGAAAGGAGAATAGGAACTGTGGGAACTGTGAAAGGAGAATAGGAAATGAGATAGGAGAGTAGGAACTGTGAAAGGAGAATAGGAAATGAGATAGGAGAATAGGAAATGTGAAAGGAGAATAGGAAATGAGAAAGGACAGTAGGAACTGTGAAAGGGGAATAGGAACTGTGAAAGGAGAATAGGAAATGAGAAAGGAGAGTTGGAACTGTGAAAGAGAATAGGAAATATGAAAGGAGAATAGGAAATATGAAAGGAGAATAGGAAGTGAGAAAGGAGAGTAGGAACTGTGGGAAGTGTGAAAGGAGAATAGGAACTGTGGAAAGTGTGAAAGAAGAATAGGAACCGTGCCCTCCCTAATGTACACAGATAGTCAACCTACTGACGCAGAGCAAAAGCTCTATAGTGTGTGGTGATGGATAGGTGGATAGATGGTCACAGAGGAAGATGCTAGCAATTCCAGGATCGCTCACACCTAATAATAGATTGTATTCCAGAGCGTCGGGCGATGCACACACCCTTCACGATACTGTGGAATTTGATGACGGCAAAATTAATAAATTATCCTTATCCTGCCATTTACCCATCTGGCAATTGATTGGGAATTGCCAGGACAAATCAACACCACAGGTTTGTCAATGAGATGCATAAAGAATAAAAGAATGCACTGACAAGAGAAAGAAAAAAATCCAAAAGCATTCAGTTCAATGCACTTTCTCTCGCATGGTACAAAAGGACATTTAGATGCCTCACAAAAAAATATCTCTCTCTCTCTCTCTCTCTCTCTCTCTCTCTCTCTCTCTCTCTCTCTCTCTCTCTCTCTCTGTGTNCTCTCTCTCTCTCTCTCTCTCTCTCTCTCTCTCTCTCTCTCTCTCTCTCTCTCTGTGTGTCTCTCTCTCTCTCTCTCTCTCTCTCTCTCTCTCTGTGTGTGTGTGTGTGTGTGTGTGTGTGTGCATGCTGTTGAAGATTCTTCATCATTCATAACGCACTCAGCAGCCATTCCACCAAGGGTTCCAACAAGGAAGACAGTTCTTTCCGTTTACCAAGGGAGACGGCTACCCACGTTTATGTGGTTGAGCGGACAGGGCCCAAATACGTGTCTGGCAGGCGTCATTCGCACTTATGGAATTTCGACTATTCTCTTACAGATGCTCATCCATTTCCAATCAGAGGTCTGTAGGCAGGGGCAGAGGCGTGGGAGTAGGGGATGCGTACGCTCGTGTGACAAAAGCATGAATGTGTGCCATTTTCTGAACCAGGATCATGCTTCCACGTATGATGAACATAGTCATAGGGCCAGAACACGTCCATCAAGGCGACATCATCAGAACAAAAAAAAACAGCACTGCAAACGAGGAAGAAAAAAAGCAGCACCGGCACGGGCGAGGCCATATTCATTCACCCTGCCGTCAACGTCCGAATACAACGACCGGTCAAAAAAAAAAAAAAAAAAAAAAAAAAACGAGCGGTCATTATTGGGGGCGAATTTGGACTGAAARATACCCCCCCCCCTCCAAATACAGCTATTATTATTGGGGGCGTATTTGGGCTGAAAGATACCCCCCCCCCTTCCAAATACAGCTATCATAACCGTACGATATATTCGGGAGAAGGCGGTAGGACTTTCTGCAGTGCATCTGGTCGTAATCGCGGTCAAGTGAGTCGGAATAGGGCCTCGCTCCACTACTCACCAAATATGCAAATTGAGAATGAATCTTCCGCTAAACCATGGTAAGATACACCGCCACATTTTTTTCTTTTTTTTGTCTTTTGTGCATGTGCTGAGTAGTGGAGCGAGGCACATAGGAAGGAGTACTACCCCAGGAGATGTCAAGACAGGCGGACCAACAGGAGGAAGGAGGACAGATGACGAAACGAAAGCATAACTCCACAAAAAAAAAGAAAAAACTCTTTTTTTTTGGTGGTCTTGAGAGCGTAAATAGAATATGAAAACATACTGTATGATAAGACTAGACGAATATCACACAGACAGAAAGTGATCGTGAAACATAACGGATAGGTAAAAAATTACAGAAGAATAATTACAGTAGTAATTACGTAATAGGTCAAAATTGGCTTTTCCTTTTGTTTGCCTATGTAGGTTCTACGTATATGATATCATATCATATCATATGATGCTTTAAAAAAGAGAAAGGAAAAGAAGACAGATGCTGAAATTGACAAATGATGCGTTACGTTTCTTAATGCTTCCTTCCCCTGAAACCGCCACGGAAATCCGCCATCGTGGAGAAATGCGGAAGTCCTAAACCTGCACAGTTACCCATCCTGTGAGAATTGCACAGAAAACGAAGAACACAGGTTTGCTCCCTCCCTCCCTCCCTCCCTCCCTCCCTCCCTCTCTCTCTCTCTCTCTCTCTCTCTCTCTCTCTCTCTCTCTCTCTCTCTCTCTCTCTCTCTCT